ACGTTAATAGAAATTAACATGTATTTTAAAAAAAGCCAAGAACTATATTTTAGTATATATTTAAAGGCTGGTGCTAGGCCTCATAGATTTATTTTAAATATAAATGAAACACAAATAATGCGACATATAACAAGTTTCACAAATAAATCATGTAGATTCTACATGATTTATTTGTGAAATATTGACCGATATTTTAGAATGTGCTCTAGAGTAAAAAAAAGATTGGGAACCCCTGATGTAGATGTACTTGAAAATACATAGCATATATAAAGGATAAAAAATGATACAAAACTTGCCAACAATATAGACAAAGATGTAATACATAAAATGGTTAACTAAATGACAGATGTGCTATAGCACGCAAATATGTCAGTACATCTGTTTGACCATATGTCTGGACAACACTTTGTACTTTTTCGTGCAGCATCTTGTATCGCTTCTCAGCTGGGTAGCTTGCCCCTGCGACACCTTGCAAGAAAGTTGTCTTTTGCCGTGTGCAGTCCATCTGTAGACCTTCAAGGAAACTATTGCAGCTTTGCACTTACAAGTGCGATTCTTCGTACACCGCCAAACGCGTGACCCGTCCTGGTGTTCTCTGTGTAGCCTAAACTCGTGGCCACGATACAACAAAGTTCTTTTACCTTTTGTCGACGTGCTATACTCTCCAAGATTCTCCATGGTTTTTACATAGAGTAGTTTAGATGACTTGTATTTATACATGATGATTTAACATATTATTACATCATGTCGAAATTTAAAATATAATTTAGCAACTTTTAAAATAAATCCTTACCATATATGGACAGCATTGGTTAAACCACCTGAGATCAAAGACCTTATGTGGACATAACATCTGAGACAAAGACCCTATGTGGACAAAAAACCTATGATCAAAGCCGGACACAGCGCTGTGATCATACACCAGTTGATAGACCACCTGTGATCAAAGACCCTCTGATGAGAAAACACCAGTGGTCAAACCCCCTATGGTCAAACCCCCTATGATCAAACCCCCTATGGTCAAAGCACCGCTATGGTCAAAGGCCCGCTGTGGTCAAACCCCCTATGGTCAAAGCCCCTATGGTCAAAGCTCCGCTGTGGTCAAACCCCCTATGGTCAAACCCCCTATGGTCAAAGCACCTGTGGTCAAAGGTCCTAGGACCCTATTAGGAGGGGGGGGGGGTTGCGGTTTCCCCCCCCCCCCTCCCCCAGACACACTTACCGCATTCAACTCCTCAGTTAAAATATGTAAGTGATTATCATTGCCTTAACTGTCGTTGTTTGTATGATATACCTACGTATCTACTTTAAATCTATTAAAGTAAGTAACGTTCCCTGTTCGAACCCGAAGGTCCATGGGGCAAGCAGGTTTACTGTTTATGTGACCACGACATATGAAGAGATAGTATGGTCAGCACTATGCCCAGACTCTACTTTCCCTAATGTCAGCTAGGTACCCATCAGATCTAGGTGAACTCTGTTGACTTGAACCCGAATTCGAACTCGAGACTTTCCAGTCTTGTGCTCTACCATCCGACCACGCTTTCCCACTAGTTTAACAAATCATGTGTTTGAGTAGAAAAGAATACGTTGTAAAGTCTGAAGGGCCTGGGTTCGAATCCTCGAGCTTATTTCTTGCATGAAATTCACACAGCTTTTATATGATGTAACCCATCTACTCTACCTGTCTTTAACTTTACGTTCTGACGGATATTTTATTTGTTTCACCTTCCGTTAAGTTACACATTTATCTTCAAACTATGAAATTTATTTCGATATCAGGGGATGTAATCAAAATATTTTTATCAGTGATGTGTGATTTCTTTAAATTAATGAAGAATTTAAAAACATTTTTTTATAAAGACATGGTGGGATCTTGGAAAATGTTTTATTTATTAGTAAAGTATCTTCGTGATCTAAGTTTTAAGTCCTAGTTTTTGGGCTACTACTTAATCGTAATTATACCAAAATGAGTACCGATGACAGTATACAATGTTAAATCACAAATAATGTTGTTCATTAGGTAATACGTCTATACTGGGATGTGGGCTGGGATATGGACTGTGATATGGACTGGGATATGAAAGGAAATGTGCTGTAATTTAATTGTGTTGAACTCCATTATTTTTATTTCTTGTGAAAATACTACGCATAATAAAACATCTAATTCAATTTCTCTCTCTCTCTCTCTCTCTGTATATATATATATATATATATATATATATATATATATATATATATATATATATATATATATATATATATATATATATATATATATATATATATATATATATATATATATATATATATATATATATATATATATATATATAATATCTATAATATAAGCGGGCTGTGTCTGTCCTTCCTTCCTTCCTTCCGTCCGTCCGTCATCGCTATAGATTTTGGAACCATAAAAGTAAACATCGCACCATGCTGTGCTTTGCAGTGCATCGCATTGTCTCATTATAAGTATTAGAGTAGGGTCTGTTTATATAACGACATAGAGCTATTTTATAATTTCCACTGTTTGTACAATTTTGCATAACGTAAAGAGAATATTAAATACACGCACATTGCTAAAACATATTAAAAGGATCAATGTCAAATATCGTTTTCGTTAATGTTCCTAGAAAAAGTGGATACATTTTTATAACATAATAACTGTAGGTTAGAAATATCTAATTAATTTAACTCTTTTTTTGACAAGGGAGGTAATTTAAAAATAAATTAAATTCACGCTAATAAAAAAAAATGTGAATGCAAATCTAGGGACCTCTTAGAAGGAATTAGTGTTGCAATAATATAATTAGCAAAATGTGAATGCAAATTGTGCGGATGCGGATTGTTAGAAAATTATAATTAGCATGGATTGATAAAAGGCAATCTTTTATTTATTTTATTCACTACTTCTAATTTTTAATCAACTATTCCGCACCATTATAGACATTGGGTGCGCAATGGTTTTAGTTATGAAACTCAATTGTAAATTTTTAAAATTAAAATACTGGGAAAAAAATGCGTGAATTGATAAAGTGATATATGGTAGGTAAACACGGATATTTTAAATATTGCCTATTTTTTATTGTATATTATTTATTATTATTCTATCTTTCGGTTTGCGGACAAGCTGGGGTTTTATAAGAGAGGCGTAGCTAGGGGGGGGGGGTTGGAAATCGAAAGTTTTAGGGAGGGGGGTAGGGTGCGAATCGAAAGTTTTAGGGGGTGCAAATCAAAAGTTTGAGCGGGGGAAATTTCAAATCAAAAGTGGTGCAAATCGAAAGTCTGAAGGGAATGCAAATCAAAAGTTTAAGGGGGTGGGGTGGAAATTGAAATTTTGAGGGGAGGGGGTGCAAATCGTAAGTTTGAGGGAAGGTCAAATCGAAAGTTTGTCCCCGGGCGCCGGAAAGGGTCGCAACACCTCTGTTTTGTAGTCATTTACTGTGTCAGACGCGTCCGCCGGGACTCGGAAAGGGCGCGATTTGGCGCTACGGGCTAGACTGTGAGCAATATGCCTTTATGATTGCATTTAAATTGTGTTTATGTTATGAGTGTTGTGTTCGTTTTTTCGTTTTTTTTTTTTTTTGCGTTCGTTCGTTTGTGTTGTGTTTAGTTTTGTTCTGTTCCAAAGTTGGTATATTTAAAAATGATTTACCGTGGCGGAGCACGGGATACAGCTAGTATATATATATATATATATATATATATATATATATATATATATATATATATATATATATATATATATATATATATATATATACATACATACATACATATATATGATCACGTTATGAAAAAATCGCCAATAAACACAACTACAATCAAGTTTCCATCTAATGGTAAGTGTTAGACACGTGCGATCTCTAGATAGTTACATGGTGTGGGAGGGGGGGGGGTGCACGAGAGCTACAGGGATGTGGTCAGTGCCACCCACTTGCCGTGACGTTTTTTTTTGTGTAGTATCTCCACTTACGTGTTCATTTCAGTAAAGTGATTAATTGGGTAATTAAGTTTCCCGCGTAAAATTGCTCTAATTGTGTGAGTCAATTAGCTAATAAAGAGAGCGGTAGAGTGGTGAAAAATAGGAACCATAAAAATGATATTTTGGGTTGTGTAGAGTTTTGTGATGTTAAACACGTGAGTGGGAGGGAATTATAACCTAACAAGCCGACCCGCTTTATTTAGTTGTTTTATTTTCTACTTTTCAGTAATTCATAATTTATGAATTCGACAGTACCAATGCTGCCACTGAAAATATTTCCTTTAAAACACTATCAATAGCTCGTTAAGGACGATAACCCCTTCTTTCCCCAACCACCCCCACCCCCACCCCCTCCCTTTAAAGCAAACTCCTCTTAGTTACCTCCCCTAAGTTTCAAACTAGATTATCTGCCCCTAATAGCCCCGAAGAGATGCCTGGAAGAAACTGATAATTATCGACGAGGGTGTGAACCAAATTTTGTGACATCATTCAGACGGAGGGTGGGGGTCAAGGTTTTTTGTTGACGACCTTTAATAAGAGCTGCTTCTCGGTGGGTGGGGGGGGGAAGGGTCCGGAGAGCTAAATTATTGTTTCATCATACATGGGTGATTTTTCGAACCTGAAGTGCAGAAAAAAATCCATTACTTCGATACAGATCCATTGTTGAGCCATTACCCAAAGCTTAACCTTGATTTCAAAAGTTAATAATAAACTTAAACCTACCACTAAATTTTTTACCTGATATCTTATCTTTGCTGCCTTCAGTCTTGTAGAAAGATTTCAAATTTAAAAAAAAACTTATTTACCAGTTCATGATAAATTTACATCAAAACAAAAATAAGGTACTTAATTTCGATCATCACTTCCCTATTGTTTCGTGATGTGAATCATGTGATGACTACTAAAAATAGAAACAATATCCACACCCTTGTTTACGTTTTAAAGTGATGGTTAACACTCAGATGGACTAGAACTAGCTGCATTTATATAGCTCATTTTACACAGTGCCGGTGCTGTTTTTGAAATTGTTGGATGAAGAAAGACTACAACCAGTATACAAAACCATAGCCTAAATTACTTTAAGCTAACAAGTGTGTGCTCAAAAGCATGTGTAAATTTCGTTTTCGTCTAGTTTTTCAAAAACATGCTAGTACGCTTTGTAGAAACAAAAATTGTAACAGTTTAGAAAAAAGAATTATGTTGAAATTATTAATTTTGACACTGGTGATTCAAGAATGTGCGGGGTATGGAGTAGTGGTAAGTAATTTTATTTACATGCGTTGTTTTAGGGAAGGTAATTTTTAAAACTGTCTAAAAACAAATCGATGGCATGTTTAGATTAAAAAAACTTTGATAGGAATGATTATCTTATCATTAGGTTAGTAGAGAATGTTTCAGCGCAAAATACGGTTTAAATTCGAGGTATTAAAAATTGAGATACTAATTCAGAATTATCAATCAAATAATGTTAATAAAATAGTAAAGTTACCTACCGTTTTTAGTGACATCTGGAATTCTATAAAATGGTGAAAATTACACTTTTAAGTATAAAATAATTAGTGATTGCCTAGGCATTAAATTGGAAACAAGCCGATTATATAACTTGGTTTACACGTTCGTCATGCCAAAGCAAGAAATGAAATGTTTTTGATTTATAATTTTTACAAGTTTTAGATATTCTATACAACGCCCTGATTATATGTACATATATATATATATACATATATACTATATATGGGAGTATGTATGTACATGTATATATATATATATATATAATTATACTTTAGTATATATATATATATATAAATATATATATATAAATATATATATATATATAAATAAATAAATAAATATATATATATATATATATATATATATATATATATATATATATATATATATATATATATATATATATATATATATATATATATATATATATATATGGCTATTAAATTCTCTCATCTCAACATTCACATTACAGACGAACTTGACAGAACTACAAAAGGTCGCGCCATTCAGTCCAGCTGAGTTCCCATCTGGGGTTCAAGGCTGTTCGTTTACTGAGAAATGTAGCAGCGGGTACACCTGTGTGGAGCATGTTTGTAACTGCCCTACCTGTCTGCCAGGTCAGTTGTTAATATTTGATATATATATATATATATATATATATATATATATATATATATATATATATATATATATATATATATATATATATATATATATATATATATATATATATATATATATATACGTATATATACTATATATTTTAATATATATATATATATATATATATATATATATATATATATATATATATATATATATAAGATTTTATACATTTAAGTATGTAGAACAGTAACGCAAGAGACAACTGGTTATATCATCACTCCTGAATTTAAAGACATGAACGACACTGACGTCACGTGTTCATGGACCATCAAAGGACGTAGAGACACCTTCATTACACTCAGGTACATGCAAACTTCACATACGTCTCCAGTAAGTATAGCCACATCAGTATCACGTTACTGATTTCATCTAAATGTTAGAAGCATGAAGGCCTATCTACAGAAAGTTGTACTATTGAGTTTTCCTCTCCTATGAAAATACTTTTTATTAATTGCCTAATTAGGACTTTCTTTACAGTAATTTATCTGTATTGAAGTTTTGTTACGGAGGTGCCTGGTATGTGCGTGTTCTAAGTTTAGGGATTATCTACTGATTTCTACACCAGTAAATAAAAGATTACCTTCTCACAGAAGCGCATTGCCATTCTAAGGAATAAACTTTTGCTTGAGAAATCGGATCCTTCTTTATGATCTTGTTTCTCTCATTTGCGTATACACCTCGAAGCTACAGTAGCTCCCCTTATACAGATTTATTATATAGTTTTCTACTGTCAACTCTATCGAATTATTTTCATATTTATTTTTTTAGTTTACCAAAGCTATTTTGTTTTTTTATTTACTAGTGTTTCCACCCTTGACAATTGTAGTGGGGATATGCAAATTTTCGAAAATAATGTAGAAGAATATATGGGTTACAAATGGCTTTGTACAAATCGAATGTTGACACCCACGATATATTCTGTTTGGAACTCAGTGACACTAACCCTGAGACAACGTCTGTTTCCTAAATTTAATGCAACTTTTTTTGTCTATCGTAAGTTTTACAAATTATATTATTAGATATGTGTAGGGGAAAAATATCGGCTATGTAGTTAATGATGCAAGTGATATAAAATAAAAGCAATTGTTTTCTTTTTCCGAAAGCCGATTTAACAAAGTATTTGAATGGACTTTTTCAGCGTACAACATAACGTTGTCAAAGACAACGGGAGCAATCGATGTGGTTTTCGGCCAACACTTCTACTGGTTTCGTTACAACTTCTTTTGGTGGATTAAAGGACACCCCAAAGGCACATTAATTTTGAGGTTATTTCTCTAGGTTTTTCTTCATCATCATACTTTTCCTGTTCGTTCCCAAAATGCTCATGGAAGATGAAGTAGAATTAGTCTGTTTCAATTACCTCAAGATACATACCAAGCTTTTTTAGTTTCCCTTTATCAGTTAACCATCAGAGCTGGGTGGTTTGAGCAACGTCCAACTGACTCTAGCCAGCAATTCGAACTTTTTCAAGAGTTTTAATTTCTTCTTAAAGAAGAATAAATAAACAAATAAATATATAAATAAAACAAATAATTAAAATATAAATAAACAAATAAATAAATAAATAAGTCAAATAAATAAATAAATATATAAATAAATAAGTCAAATAAAAAAAAAAAATATAAATATTTATTTATTTATTTATTTATTTATATATATATATATATATATATATATATATATATATATATATATATATATATATATATATATATATATATATATATATATATATATATATATATATATATACATATATCATTGTTGTTGAGTAGAACAAATGCCGATACACAGTCACATTTCTGCTTGAGAAGTCATGACAGACAGAACTATAGAATAGATCTAAACCTAGATGAGAGAATATCCATTTGTCAAGAGGAAAATATTTCAGTCAACAACAGTGTTCGCGTTTTCACAAGTTATTATTTTTATTGGAGAGAATATTACTATTACAAGTATAATTACACTCTACCTTTGCATTTGAAACTAGACATATATAACGCAGGTGGGCACTGAACAGTTTTTTTATTGCTACATTTTCTTTTTAAAATCTACACGATAACATTTTTAAATATTTTCATTTAAGCATACTATATATATATATATATATATATATATATATATATATATATATATATATATATATATATATATATATATATATATACATAAAATCCGTGTTAATGAATGAATGAATAAATAAAGTTATGAATGCCTAAACTGATAATCTCATAAATCTAATTAGAAGTATATTTATCAGTAAAATTTATTTTAGATTAATTAATGTAATGGTCGCGAATGAAAAAAAGCTATTGTTTTTTTAGTATGTAGATGATTGATTGTCATGAGTGTTACAGGTATTATTAATATTCTATAATTAGGGCCCGCTTGTAACACCTCTTTGGATTGTGACGGTAACTCATCATGTATTGATGGATTTTGTGATTGCCTGGATAGTCAGTTATTTGACGAGATCAACAATGTCTGCAGGACGAGTAAGTAATGTTGGACCATGTTAAAAAATCATTTAGCAGCTTTTGAAGACAACAATTTAAATAATGATTTTTCGTTTCTTAATCTTAACACGTTGTAAATAATATGGGACTGTGTGGACGGATTGTAGAGTACACTATTTCTAACTAAAAATGTCTCAAGTTCAAATTTTGGGTTTGTGTCAGTAAAACGTCTATGAGTCCACCTAGCTCTAATGGGTAGCTGACTCGAGTTGGTGAAAATAAAGGCAACTAGACATAGTGCTGACCACACTTTTCCATCTCGAGGTAAATGCAAAAGGTGAACTCTACTTCCAGATGGACTACTAGGTTCGAAAAGATAGTATATTTTGTTTTATATATTAAAAACAATGATTATTAATATGACCTTAAGCAAGAAAAATAATTATTATACTTTTAGAGAAAAGCCAGAAAGAATGAAATGTCTTACTTTAATAATTAATCAAATTAATCTCAATTTTTAGATTTTAGTAGTATTTTTTTTTGCAAATAATAATACAATTTGTTCAGTTTCTTTTTGATATTCCTCTTTTTTCTTGAAATGCATTACCACAACGAACATCCACAGAACTGAACTACGGAGACGCATGTAATTCGAGCTACGAATGTCTCGGCCCACACCTACAGTGTCTGGCGAGTCAAGGGGGACAATACACGTGTTTGTGTCCCGATTACATGTTTTACATGGGCAACTCGTGTACCCCAGGTACAGTTAGCACTTTAAGTAGAACGAGCTGACCCGCGGCGTAGTATACGCCGCCATCTAGTTGTTTTATTTTCTGCTTTTCAGTAATTCATAATTTGTGAATTCGACAGTACCAATGCTGCCACTTAATATATTTGCTTAAGAAAAGTAGCTCGTTAAGGACGATACCCCCCCCCCCTTCTCCAACCACTACCCCACCACCGTGAAAACAACCTCCTATTAGTTACCTCCCCTAAGTTTAAAATCGTTTCAAACTAAATTATCTGCCCCTAGTAACCGTCACTAAACCCGGCTCTACGACCGTAAACATTTGTGAACCACAGCTCACCAGAACATGTAGGGGTGGGGTGGTAGGGAGAATTATATATATAGATTCTAATGGACTAGAATATAACTTTAATACTTGCTGGGGTGTTTGACAAATATTGGATCGTAACACCCTGTTTATGGCTTACACCAGAGGTCTCCAAACTTTTCAGTCCGAGGGCCGCATTAACTATCGAATTTCAGTTCGGGGGCCAGTTTCTTCCAGGCATGTCTTTGATTTTTCTGGGCAAAGTTCCTCAGCCATTCCCAACAAACGTTTTTTCCGTGGACAAAAATATCTCTGCGGGCCGGATGAAAGGACCTCGCGGGCCGCATCCGGCCCGCGGGCCGTAGTTTGGAGACCCCTGGCTTACTCATATAATCAAATAAAATTTCCTATAGTTTTATAATATTTTTTAAACTCCATTTTATCTGTTTTTCTGTGTACCAATATATATATATATATATATATATATATATATATATATATATATATATATATATATATATATATATATATATGTATATATATATATATATATATATATATATATATATATATATATATATATATATATATATATATATATATGTATATATATATATATATATATATATATATATATATATATATATATATATATATATATATATATATATATTCAGCAGAACTATTAATGATTTTCATATATCAGCAACGGATGCTTTAGAGAGCAAACCACAAGTCCTTCTTGTAACCAGCGACACCCTGCATTTGTTCTGGACCCCAGTAGACAACGCCACCTACACAGTCCGGCTCTTGTCGCTGGGACAAAAACACCACGAAGGTTCTCAAGATGTGGGCCACATCCCAGTTCTCAAAAACCTATTCCCGGACACCGTCTATGCCGTGTCTGTGGTGGTCAAGTTTAAACCAGACGAGGTTGACTGGGTGAAGAAGGTCAGCACTGAGTTCATCATACGGACAGGTGAGTCAGAGTTCTCGTGAGTAAACTAGGATTAGTTGGAGCTTAAGCTTTAACTTGACCCAGGCAGACCCGTGCACGTGCACTAATAAGAACAACAAACAACACTTGAATTATTTTTTTAAATCACAGATGAAACACATTGAGTTTTTACATGGTGAATGTATTTATAGTAGATAATATTAACAGCTCAAAAAACAAACACAAGCACTCAAACAACTATACACAACAAACATGAACACACTTTTACTTACACCCAAACATACACACACAGATATATATATATATATATATATATATATATATATATATATATATATATATATATATATATATATATATATATATATATTTATTTATTTATTTATTTATTTATTTATATATATTTGTGTGTGTGTGTGTCAGATATAAAATACTGTTTTAACACTTCTTATGCAGGTGAGGACGATGCAACAAGACATTCGTCAGGTAACCTTGTTATTATATTGTGTTTAAAAACACCTATTCCTTAGAGATTCGAAACTTTTATTCATGTCCAACCGTCCACAAGTCAAGCAACGAGAGACAACAGCCAATTGAGATGGTTAAAATACTTGATTTGTCTGACGGTCTTATTATTGGCAACACGGATGAGGCAGCTCGATTCATCTACCTGTGACTGTCTGTTTGACCCAAGAACATGTCTAGAATCGATGATGCCTGCACATGATAGAGATTAGAAACGGGAGGGGGGGGGATTAGTTACATTTTTCAAGTGTTGTTATTTACAACATTTGATGATTGAATAAAAAAAACAGGATATATATATATATATATATATATATATATATATATATATATATATATATATATATATATATATATATATATATATATATATATATATATATATATATATACAATCTTGAATTTATCTCCTCATAGGTTTTAGCTTATCATTTTTGTATGTGATGCTCTGTGGGGATACCCCTGGCACCACCCTAGATAGAAACACAATATTAGTAGAGTATATATACAATATATACAGTTTATATATAGCCATGAGAAACTATATATAGTCTATTTGTAGAGAAGTAAAAATAGCTATGGCAAAATTAAGTGCATTTATTATTTTAGCTAAATGCAATGTGCATTTGTAAAACAAATGTAAGTAAAAATATTTTAATGTATAATTTTTGTTATGTCATAAATACATTTAAAATCAATATGATAAGAGTTTATGTATATATATATATATATATATATATATATATATATATATATATATATATATATATATATATTCATTTTGTTTTCCCGACAGATGTAACGATCTGGAGAACGGTTTTTACAACACTACTTCTGCTGACAATCATTGGCTTAGTCACAATGTTGATAATATTATTGAAACACCGTTAAGATGAGTGGACATTTAATCTCATTGTGTATCTTCTGTGGCCCTCAACAAAGCTTGACAAATAATATTCTAATAACTTTTGGGATGGTGAAAAAACGACCAACCCTTAAAATTATAATTGAAAATAATAGATGAGCTTTTCTGGAAAATTGAGTATAAGAAATCTTACAAAAACATAATCATGCTTTAAACTATAATAAAACATGTTTTTGTTTTACCACTTAGATGAAGATATACAGCTGTCACCTCGTTTGAAAATAATTAATGGATGCTCATTGCAAAGGGATTCGTTAGGATTTACTCTGGAGGTCAAATTTTACCAAACAGAAATCGTTTGCGGTGTAGTAACAAGTACAGTTATAAAAGGCATTTTGCAAGCACTCGTTTGAATTAGCCAATTAGTCAAAGCAATTCATTTTGTAATATGGATAAATGCACACACAAAAATAATTTTTATGTATTTTAATTTTTTTTCACAGTGCACTTTTAAAATGGTGATGTTGACAAACATTAAATTACAACACACACAAAATTATTGGTTACAATTTTTATTGATTTTTTATGAAATACATTATCAATATGTGTATGCATTTTATCAATTAATTTAATTTAATTTTTCTATGTTGTTTATGCACCGCTGTAACTTGTATTTAATCATTGCAATTGTTTATCTAATTTTATTTATACGCTTAGTAATCCTATGTTTACAATTTGAAGAATGTATTTGTATATGAAAAATAAGCAAATAAAGTCTATAATAAATCTAAGAAGATGTTGATTAAGTTATTTTTTTACACTGAACCCAGGAGTTGATAAGAAACGAAGATTGAATGTTGTTAATTATTATTTTTTCTACTCTTGGCTTATGTAAGACGTGAAATCATATTACGTACTAGACATATGACTTTAAAAAATCGTGGTACATGATCATGCTTACGTTTTTTTTCACTTTATTTGGCGCATCTTTTAAGTCCTATAAATTTAGTTTTCTCAATGCTACCAAGAACATTATTTTATTATGTGTTATTCTAATAAAAAATTCGTTTTCATTTACTATCAAAAACGGCAAAATTCTGAGTGTTTTTTTTCTAGTGGGCTTGTATTATATTTTACAATACATTACCATCAAAAGTCTCCTACCTATATATGTTAGACAGCAACCTCCAATGAACAGTGACATATCAGATTTCGATGCGTCACAGTTATGAAGGCATTACACCCCTACTACACTTTTTAACTGACTGTTCATTTCAAACTTTTCTGTCTCTTGTTGTTAATAGTATTATTAATGAGAATTTAATTGTTGATTATCTATACATATGCAATTTTCCCCTGTTATCTCCACTTAAGCCGAGCCTAATGTATATATATATATATATATATATATATATATATATATATATATATATATATATATATATATATATATGCTTGTTTTGCAACAGATATAACAGATATAACGGTCTGGAAAACAGTTTTTACAACATTAATTTTGCTGACAATCGTTGGACTAATCACAATGTTGATAATATTGTTGAAACACCGATAAGGTGAGAGGACATTTACTTTCGTTGTGTGACCCTCAAAGCTTGACAAATAATTCTAGTAACTTTTGGCACGCTGAAAAATAATTAACCCTTATAATAATAATAATAATAATAATAAAAATCAGAAGTGAGTTTCTGGAGAGTTAGGCATGAAAATGTTCTAAAACATAATATATAAACTATAAACTATAGTAAAGCATTTTTTGCCACTTAGATAAAGACAATGGGAGCATAAGAATAGAAATAAACGCATCATTCACCTGGTTTGGAAACAATTTACAGACGATCATTGCAAAGGGAATCGTTAGGGTTTACATTGCAGATTAAATGTAAAAAAAAATCTGCATTTTTATATCAAGTACAATTATCAACGGCGTTGTGCAAGCACTTGTTTGAATAAGAAAAGACAATTCATTTTAGCAAAATTTTAGTTTCAATTTGCAATTTTCAAATTACTGTACAAAATGAAATTGATACGTTTGAAAAAAAAATGTAATTGATAAATCATTTTTTATTAATTTTTTAATGAAATATATTATTAATATTTATTTTATCATTTTTCAATTTATTTTATTCAGTTTTTCAATGTTCGTTGTGCACTGCTATAGCTTGTATTTAATTATTGCAATTGTTTTACTATATTATATATATATATATACCCATAATAATTTAAATTTAACAATGTAAACAATGTATGTTTATATTAAAAATAAGCTAATGTTAATGAAGTCATCCATACATCTAGGAAGATGCTGATTGAGTAAACTCATGAATTGATCAGAAACAATAATTGAATGCTGTTAATGGTAATGTGCTCAACTCGTGGTTTATGTAAGAAATCGAATCAAATTTCGTATCAATTGTATGACGTTAAATATCATGGTAGCCTACATGATTTTGCTTGAGATTTTTTAACTTTATTTCACACATTACATGTATAAGTTTTATAAATTTACTTTTTAGTTTGCAACCAAGAATATTATTTTATTATGCACTTTTCTAATAAAAATTTGTTTTCATTCAATATCAAGTAAGGCTATTTGTTTGGAGTTTTGTTTTTATTTCTAATAAAGAATTTGAACTTTATATTATGTTTCTTATATATATATATATATATATATATATATATATATATATATATATATATATATATATATATATATATATATATATATATGTATGTATGTATATATATATATATATATATATATATATATATATATATATATATATATATATATATATATATTTAGATATATATATATATATATATATATAGCAGACTAACAGAAAGCCTAGAAAAAAGATAAAAATTATGATTGTACATTAATCATTTTGTCTAACAAATAATTTATTGTACTAAACCACAGTTTTAATTTTTTATCCAACCAAACAAAAACAAATACGAAGGATACACAATGTGAAAACGATTGGTACACGACTAACAAAACAAAACGTCGTGGTGGACGTACTCCTTAATACGCTTCATTTAATGCTGGTGTAGAATGGTAGATATAACACAGATGGGTAGCAAGCGTAGTCTGAATAAATAAAAATGGCCTATTTGTTTAACAGACTCTTATACTATGAACACTTTTAGCACGAAAACGCCATCCCATGTTGTTTTCAAGGCAAGTATCTCTATAGTTCCTACATAAACAGCAACGCACGCAGCTCATTAACATAATATATGCATAAATTTCCTTTCAGTATATAAGTTATTAAACTTGCTTGTTTTATATGTTTTTATCTAAAACCATTAACAAATCCAATTTAACACTAAAACAACAGCGTATGATTTAAAAGTTAAGTGTCTGCGTGTATAGTGATTTTCCCGATATTTAATCAGCTTGCTATTTTAAGATTTCTGGTATTTCCTTATGATAGATAGTAATTATTAAGTCATCAAAACAAACATTAGTAATGTATATGCATAGAAATTGACATCAGTCAATGGACATTTAAAAGTTTTAAAAGATCGAGTGTTTTTTATTTAAAAATAAAATCTTAATTCATATAGGCTGATATGTACTTTTCTAAGTGTAAGTAATAAATTACTATTCATAGTAACAGTAACAGAATAGGTTACATTTAGGCTTATGATATTTTAATCTAGATGTAATTATAAATAGAGTCGAGATGTTTTACCCGTTCATGAAGCGAAATGTCAGAAATGAAGGATATCTTCATATATATATATATATATATATATATATATATATATATATATATATATATATATATATATATATATATATATATATATATATATAATTCTCTTCTGGGAGCCGCTAGAAAACAAGCTGCAAACGCGCTCCCTACCGTCCCCACCCCTACATGGTCTGGTGAGCTGTGGTTCACTCTTTATGTTTACAAACATTACAAACACAGCCGGGTTTAGTGACGACTATTAGGGGCAGATAATTTAGTTTGAAACGATTTTAAACGTAGGAGGGGGTAACTTTAACGGAGGGGTGGGGGTGAAGGAGGGGTGGGGGGGTTATCGAGCAGTGTCAGCGTTGGTACTGTCGAATTCACAAATTATGAATTACTAAAAGTTGAAAAAACAACAACTAAATAGCGGCGTATGTTATGCCGCAGGCCGGCTCGTATTATATAATATATATAATATCCGAATATACAATGTGTTTTAAAATCTCTATCGCAAAATTATATTCAGATGCAAACTAAATGCTAAATTAAAATAACAAATACATATATTCCAATTTTTTACTTACTCTTCTTTATATTAACTTTTCTGTAATATCAACAGGGTTTTTAGTCATCATCTAACTATTACTAGAACAAAAATGGGAGATAAAAGTTATTTTACAGCTGAAATTCACCGATTACTTCTGGGATTCCTTTTGATGTTGCTTCTGCTACGAGGATACTTTAAAAACAACTGGGGTTTCGTTTTGATATTGTATGTTGTTTTAATATCCATACCTACAAACCCATTGAGTTACTTGATATATGTTCTACTTGCTTTATCCGCGGACTCACGACTCAAGAAATGTTTGTACAACAAAGTGCAAGGGTTATGGAACAGGTTCGGACATTTTGTGGAAACTGCCGCAATTAAATTCAAAAAGATCAAAGATGAGTGCCTTCATGAAAGCGCGGCTAAAGCCGATGCTGATGAAATTCTATCAAAGAAAACAAGTTTTAAAAATTATCCGTCAATGAATTCAAATACCCGTGTTGTATTTGCGTATCCTGCGATTCCTATGGACTTCTGCGCCACCTATAAACGGCTTCTTACTTTTCGAGATCTTCCACAAACGGATGGGATTTGTAAACTGACACTAGCCGAGAATGGGTTTTACCTCAAAGATGCTCAAGCTAGCTGCTTTACTTGCATGAGGTAACATTGATATTGTAATCCTATATTAATATGATAACTGGCGTTTTGTGACTATTATATTTTAGATACTGAAACTGCAAATAAATGAAGAGAAATATAATTGTATTTAAAACAAAGAAAAATATTGTTTATAATACATAATGCCAAAAAAAAGATACTTTAAAAAAGAATGTGATGTGTCTATATGCCTTACAAATAAGGTCTAATGGGGTGTAACTTGTGGGGAGTTAGTATTTAAGGGGGAAGGAGTGAAAAAAAATAATCAAAAGAATGAGATCTCTATGATTTAAAAGGAAGCAAAAGAACTATGTTATAGCGAGTGTGGTTGGAACATTTTTTGAGCACTTTGTAGTTCTGACCTAAATGTGATACGTGTATATTGTGATAAAAAAGGTTTACGTAATTCATGGATGCCCCTTAGCATATAAAGTTAAAACATGCGAATAACATAACTTCATCTTTAACTCAATGAGGTTTTTTTATCTACAGTTGTAGGATTGAGTTCACCCCTACAAGTTTTCCAAAAGAACAAAACAGATGGCACGATACATCCTGTCCATTTCATGTTGACCATCCACGGTATCAGCAGCTAACGCAGAATTATGGCTCAACATATGCTGATCAGAGCAGTTTGTTAAGACCGTAAGTTGGAAAAAGTATTACTCGTCTTCTTCAGCTATGTCTTAATGTGAACTGCTATATGTATAATACATTTTGATTGAGCTATAGAGAAAGTAGAGACGGAGTGGCCTAGTGGTAGTGAGCTAGGCTACTAGCCCGTAAGTTTGAAATCCGGTTCAAGTCTGTAGACCGTCCATGATTCCACCCAGCTCTGATAGGTACCTAACTCACGTTAGAGAAAATAAAGGCTGCTGGGCATAGTGCTGACCACACTATCCCTTCATATACCCAGGTCACAGTAACAGGTGAACTCTACTTCACTTGCCCCATGGACCGTCAGGTTTGTAAGAGGAATTTTACTTTACTTCTATTGAGAAAATACATTGTTATAAAACATTATTGTAATTATTTTATCGTTCAGATCTCGCTCCAACATAAGGCAAGAGACAGGCATGGAACAGGATCACATTTTTTATTCAGTACATGAAACATACAGTGGAGGTGCCTACAATATTGTTGAACAAAACTGTGAGGACGGCGGTATACAAGATGTTCCAAACGATGTATTACCAACACAAGATGAAAACGTAGAAGGTTCCCCCTACAATCCTTACCCAACTTTAGAGCAAAGTGTTGTAGACGTCCACAATCATCAAAACTCCACGCAAGAAGAAAATATAAATAGTGCCTTCTACAACGTTAACTCGAATCTTATGGAAACTATGGAAAATGCCGGGACAATTTTAAATGGAATACATGAAGAAACCATGACAGGAGCCTCTAACTACATGAACCAGATACAGGAGACTACGACGCCGGACGCGTCTCAAACTCTGACATCCAGTTCCGTTCCTCTGTCCGCTCCAGTATCAATGCATCGAGAACGCTCCAAGAGAGGTTCTCAATCTGTGGTGGTCTCACTAGCTGAGGCCAAATCATTGGGGGCTGCAAGTCGTTTGTCACATGAGACACACCCACCAGGAAACAGTGAGAGTTGATATTAATTGATGAGATTTGATAGTTGATGAAAAATTATAGTTGATGACAGTTCTATATTTGATGATTGCTTTAACTAAGAACCAAGAGCTCTTGAAGGTTTGTACTTTGTCAAAATCTACTTCGACTCTATATTTAATTTTTTTTATCATTGCTAAACTATATTTTTAAAATGGGTTAAAGATAAATTTTTATTTTAAAAAAAGGTACATGGTTTACTACTCCCTAAGGGTATAGGGTAATTATGATTAATATACTCATTCACAGTGCTTAACATGATATTAGAATGTTAGCTTATACAGTAACAAAATGACCTCAAAAATGTTGCGGAGAGAGAGAGGGAGAGAGAGAGAGAGAGATGTGTGTACATGGGATTTTTTATATATTATGATGTACATACATTTATAAGTAAAGTTTTTACTTACGTTATATAGTTTTGAAATACCGAAATCGATCCAGTAATATATATATATATATATCACATCGACACAACCTTGATAAAGTAGGCGTACATTTCAAAACCTAATTTTAAAACAATGACTATTTATAGTTCCACAGCACACTACAACAGCAAAAATCGTTTCATGTTGTTTTTACAAAATAAACATGTGATAACACTTATAACACAACAAATGCTACACATTATTTTATTCTCTCAAAATATAAAAATTATAATTCACTTATTGCCCACACTTTTGAATATGTGTTGTATTTTATTTAATTCGTTATATAATATCAGTAATATAATAAAAATAATTCGTGTTCTGCAATGTAAGACCAAAACTACGGCTTTTTGCGAAACGACGCATGATCATATTTATATACATCGTAAGTCTGAATCAGCCTATATATACGGAAATCCACAGTCGACTGTATATATTTTTGGGGGAATTACCGTAGTGACGTGTTTCGTCATTGGTAGAGTCAGCATCTAAAAATATACAATTCTGTTTCCTTTAAATCAAAGCTTCCTAGAAAACAAAAGTTTAAAACGTTTCTACTATAATGTGAAATCCTAGTATTTTTGTTTAATAAAATATTATTTTCCTATTGTACATTTCAAATAATATCAGCTATGTCATCGTACATTGTTTAAAAATTATTTTTATTTGTTTTCTTTTTAACATAAAACCAGCATTACAATTCAACTCTAATTCAATTGATGTTTAACATTCATCGTCGAGAACTTTCCAAACCTGTAAAGTTCTATAACTACATTAAGTTATAACATTAAAGGCAACGATACAACACAGCTTGAGAAGATCAAGCATGTAGTAACTACGCTTCATTAATTCATTAACTTTATGTATGGTTAATCTAATTGTGTACATACTAATTTTACCATAAAATGTCTCAAAAAACAATAAAAAGTCATTGAAATAAATTATTTAAAGCTTTTTAACAATAGCTCTATCACCTTGTTAAACGAATTTGATATAATTTATAAACATTTTTTTAAAATGTTAGTTTTCAAGAATTCAAGCTATTTAGCTTCACTTCAAGAGTGTATTTTTTAAATTATAATAAAGCAAGTTAGCAACTGATAGTGTTCAAACGAAATTAATGTACGGCTCGTAATATATATATATATATATATATATATATATATATATATATATATATATATATATATATATACTTTAAATATTTCGTTAAAGATGTATAAGGTCAAAGCCTGAAGGGCGGCTAATGTGCACATTGACCGGCTCTCTTGGCCAAAGTCCGAAGAGCTTTACCTAACTTTAAATAATGTGTGTGAGATTGTGTATGTGAGTGTGTGTGTGTGTGTGAGTGTGTGTGAATGCGTATGAGTATGTATGATTGTGAGAGTGTGTGTTTATGTATGTGTGTGTGTGCGTGTACAATTATATGTATGAGTATGGGGGCATGCGTGCGTATGTGTGTGTATGAGCGTGTCCAGGTGTGTGTATTAGGATTTGTGTGAGAGTGTACGAGTATATGTATACGTGTTTGTATGAGTGTGTATATGAGTGTCTGCATGGTGGAATTTAAGTATGCTTGGCGAAGTAATCGCACTTGCAATATAGAACCAACATTTGATATGGAAATTACGTTCTTGGATCACTTGAATACATTACTGCTAGGAAAACCAAGAAATAGCTTTATTCTCATCAGGGACAAGTAATGTGCGTTTATACACGAACTTAAACGTGCTTAAGCAAAGCAGACAAAATAAACTGTTGACTTTCAGCAATGACGTTGAAGGCAAAGAAAATGTAAACATAATAAAAATTCATCCTGTTGTAAAAAGTTATTAAATAGATTGATATGTAGTATAATAAAATAGTTTGAATGTTTCTGTTATTTACTTAATTTAAAATCAATAAAGACCTAGTTTCAAACACCCAAAACCTGTTCACGATCTTTCAATGCGGACTTTGGCCAGTTGTAACTAGATGGCCAATGTCTGAAGTATAACAGTATATATATATATATATATATATATATATATATATATATATATATATATATATATAAGTATTGTAACTATTAGTCTACCTTGATATGAAAAACTACATTTTTTGTTCATTTTCTTGCATGCTTATGTATTTAGTTACTGCTCTCGGGAATCTGTTGTTACGATATGTAAGCTCAATTTAGATGGATGTACAATCAGTCTTAGTTAAAACAGTAAATCCCAATACAATCCCAACAAAATGATCTTATGAGAAGGGCTGTTTTTCAAGGGAACAACATGGTGGTTCCGCCACGAATATGAACCTTACTGAAAAAATAATGTGTCTCTTTACAAATGATTAAAATATAGAGATTACTGCATGCATAACGTAAGCTTTCAACCAGGATCGATTTTTCAAACTTGGAGTTTCGATTATTTATTATGACAACTAACAAAACATATCTAAATATAGGTCATATGTATAATGTAATAAATATTTATGATTATAAATATTAAAATAGGACTGTTAAATACTATCCTATACTATACTTCGTTACTAAATAATAGTATGTATGTTTACAATCTTTAGACTCTGTCTTTAATTTTCTTTCATCACGTAAGTATATTTTAGTATTTTACAATAAGCATTCATTAAGAGAATAATATAATAGTAGTAGTATAGTTACACATGTTGATTATGAAATAAATACAGTGAAACTTATAAATGAGAAATCTATTTAAAAACAACAAATGAAAATGTATTTCGCTTTCGTGAAAATCGATGTGTGACGTAATGTACCAGTGTAATCAATTCAAAGAACTTGGTGTTTTAAAAAAAAAATATTGATTCATGCTATTCCCGAAATTTTATTTATAGACTATTTAACAGCACACCATTCTGCTGTTTTCTTTTAACTAAGAAAATACTAAGTAAAGAAACCAGATGATATGGAAGACTTTCAAGTTGAACTTTACGACTCTCGACTAGTTTTTTATTTGATTGGTTTGGAGATTTTGGCTTGGCTTCTTTTTACTTTTTGCGTTCAACTGAGAAATGAAAGAAACGGTAAGCTGTTTTTTTTAAAGTGCATATCACATTATTTTACTACTTGTATTTTTCTAAGAAAATAATACTTAAATCAATAATTAATTAACGTACATTTGATTGTATATGGCTTTGGTTTTGGGATGGTGTATTTTTGCGGTTGGGAATGGGGTAGTGTTAGGGTTACAGTTAGGATTAAGGGTACGGTTAATATTAAGGTTACGTTTCGTGTTAGGGTTTGGATTAGGATTATGTTTAGCGGAAAGAGTAGGTCTAGAGCTAAAGTAAGATAATTTTCTGGAGGACATAAGCTTATTCAATGCTTAATTTTTTTTCTTTGTTCCTTATAGTAATGTCGGACGAGATTTTGTTTAATACATTTGAGTATTAAGTGACAGCGTATTATGCGCCATATGGCCCGTTGACTCCGATCTCAGCCTGCTTTTCTTTTTACTTTCTCGTATATACGAAGTATAGAGAAAGTATTGTAATCGTGCACAAAAATAACATGAAATTTTGACAGTTTTCACCGTTTTACTCCTCAGTACTTCATCACATCCGGAGTATAGAGGACTTATTTTAATCAAGCAAAAATTATAAATACAAATATATAAACATTTTGGCGTTGTATGCGTTATCGAGTCGGAAAAACTGGAAAAAAATAACATGAAAGTTTGACAGTTTTCACCGTTTTACTCCTTAGTACTTCATCACATCCGGAGTATAGAGGACTTATTTTAATCAAGCAAAAATTATAAATACAAATATATAAACATTTTGGCGTTGTATGCGTTATCGAATCGGAAAAACTGGACTTTGCAATTATGTCCGTTGTCTGTGTGTGTGTGTGTGTGTCTGTCTGTGTGTAAGCACGATAACTTGAGTACCGTTACAGTTAGGTTGATGAAATATCATATTTAAGTATTTTATCAAAATCGTAGATACGTATTAACTTTTGAGCGATTTCCGATAACCGGAAGTGGTACTTTTTCTACTTTGAATTTTTTAAAAAGCCTATAACTTGAGTACTATTTCTGATAGATAAATGAAATTTCACATGTAAGTAAAAGATCTAATTCTCTACCTTCTGTCAAATTTTGAGTAATTTCCATTGATTGAAAGTACTAATTTACGCTATTTCCGATTTCTCAAAAAAACGAATGTAAATTTATAAAGTACTAATAATATTCCGCACTATTATGCACGTTTTATTTGGCGTTCACAGGTGTGCTAATCTTTTTTCTACGAGATTTTATTCTATTTTAAAAAGTTTAAGCTTTTAAAATGGATTCAAATTCATGTCTATTTCCCGAGTTCCCATCCCCTGTTTTTTTATAAAAGAATATTCGAGAAAGTTTAGGGGACATCGCTCCCGGTTTATTTGGATTTGCTTTTATAGCCTTTGTCAAACCAAAGACAAACTAAACGGCAGCAGTTGTTAGATGGGTTTGTGTCCCCAACTATTTAGCCTCATTGGCCCTATGGTTTGAACCCGGGAGTTTTCGGCTTTCCATCCATGTATTTTACGGCCCAACAAAACAGATACTTAAGTGAAGAGGGAGTGTACAAAATCCTTTTCTCTATTGTTATCTTAACCAATTTTAGACATTTTATAGAATGCTGTCTTTTTTTTTACTTTGCAAGTAAGATGTATAAAAAAAGTTTTTCGAAAGGTTAATAAATACTATCGGCCATATTGATCGCGGTTATTGGTCTTGGGGGTGATTTCGCGCAGGTGAAGTACCAATTTTGATAGTTGACGGTGGGATAATAAACATATTCAAGCTTTACCACTTTTATTTATATTTCGTAATGAATTATTTACATAATTATAGATATTTTAAATACTAGTGAATTTTCCTTCTTCTAATAGGCGTGGCGCATCAAAGCACAACATGGAATTACCTATATGGTAACAGGTAATGAAAGAAGAACGTTAAAGCTATATCAATAAAGACTATCTTAGACGTACACACACACACACACATATATATATATATATATATATATATATATATATATATATATATATATATATATATATATATATATATATATAATGGAATCCTATTTGACAGATATGTCATTTTATTTGCTGGATTCAGCATTTTCACATTTCTATTGTGGAAAGTTTTCACCATCTACAACAGTGCGTGTGACCCCTTTTGTTTACTAGGTCTTAGTAAGGTACGTTACTAGATGTATGATCCGACTATGTTCATATATTATATTGTTAAAGTGTGCATCTGTCTGTGGGTTTGTCTTGTATGCTCAACTGGATCTTTCATTCGATTGTTATGAAACTTCGGAAGTTGATGAGAATACTCCTGGGAAGGCATTTACTTTAGCACCTCGGATCTATTGATTGAGCGTGCTGTACCTGGGGTCAGGGTACAACTTGATTCAGGTTAGACTGCAGTTGGCGCATCGGGCGGTCTCTTGACTCGGAGTACGCCGGGCTCTTCCTTGAGCACTATGGCGCCTTCGTTCGTTTTAAAGAGTCTCACACACTATGTACATGGTTGGTTACGCCGGGCTCTTCCTTGAGCACTATGGCGCCTTTGTTCGTTTTAAAGAGTGTCACACACTATGTACATGGTTGGCTACTATAACCGTTGACTAAATCGAGCCAGGTCTGGGTTCTTTTATGATACAAAATGCGATAGGTGTGGACAGAATTGTAAGTCACGCGTCCAAAAATACATAATTGGTAACAATAAGGCTTGTACGGGAAATTATAGTACTTCACTAACTTCTCGAGCTAGTTGTTCCCAGCTTATATTTTTCAAACCAAATTTTAATATTTTTACAAAATCGGTAAAAAAAAGTAATATAAG